AAAGCAATCACACAAGAGGCAACAAGAAGTTTTGACCATCGCGAAGGTTTATCCTCAAAGAATTGCTGCTAAATGTTCCAGAGAAATTCTTTGTTTGGATAACGATGATGCCATTTGGTTGGATGAAAAAGATGTTGACACAACTAATGTTCCTGGCAATAACAACCCAAACGAGACCGAAGTGACTGCTATGCAAGTTGTAAATAATTTAAAGGAGTGGGTCCAAAGATAAATAAGTTTGAATATTTCAATAATATAAATAATCGTTTTTTGTTTTGTTAATATTTTCAAATGTTTGATTTGCTGTTGATTTTATTAAAAATAATTTAAATGGAAGTAAAACTGATTTCGGAACTGCTGTTTTAATTTTATCATTTCTAGGTGTAAAATTCCAAAATATGTGACGTCACACTAGGGAGGGGGAGTCTCACAAATGTGACCAGCTGTGACTAGGACAAGGGAGGGGTCAAAAAATCATAATGACGTAATTTATGAATGGCCCCTTATCTAATTAAGAACTTTTATATTTAATTAGCTGATAAAGGGGTCTATTCTGTAACAATTTCTTTATATTTTAATGGCCGTTAAAATATTGGCGGCCCTAAATAGTAGTTTGTGCAACAAGAGTGGATATGATGGCCTTATCGCACGAAGTCTGAGTTCAATATGGCAATCCACTCGAGTATATTTTTTCTACGACCCACTAACAAAAATTTACAAATAAAAATTGTTTTTTAGGTTATTAAGACAAAATAACTAATATTAATAGTACATTATATACCTAGGGTGAGAAGTGAGCTATTATTTACCGAGCACTTTTATATCCTGAGGCGCGTAGCGCCGAGGGATATAATGTGCGAGGTAAATAATAGCTTTCTCAGCCGAGGTATATATAGAATTTTTTTTACTACTAACATTAATGTATTAGCAATTTTAATTTTGACATAAGTAATTTCCTAACAATTTGTTAAATATTTCGAAATATCAAGCAGACTGGAGCGTGTTTCTAATCAGACTGGCTTTATTTATGTAAAAATTTGGCATGTGTCAAATTTTGGTATGATTCTAGGAAATATCCCATTGCATTTTTGATATTTTAATGACATGGATTTATTGTTATTAATTAATAATTTTTAAAGCCGGTGTTGAATTTCCTAGTTAATATATATTTTTACTATTAACACTGATATATATTATCATATTTGATTTGATTAGATTTTAATAAACCCAGCTTTAGTTATTTCCTACTTATTTTTCAAATATTTCAAAATATCAAGTAGTCTGGGAGTTTAGTTGTCAAATTAACAAAATGAAACTAATGAAATTTAGTTTCATTATTTACCTAGGTTTTTTTTATTATCATTATTTACCTAGGGAGAGAAATATTACTTCTCATTAGAGGAATGGAGTAAATAATGGTGATTTCTCATGTTAGTAGTAAAAAAAATAATTTATGATTTTTAATAATTTTTAAAATAAAATAAACGAAAAAAAAAACAGAAAAAAAGTTCATTTGATTTTTCCCCATCCGAGAATCGAACTCCAGTTTTCTGTGTGTAGGCAAGAACGCTAACTACAGGACCACCCATTTTTTATTTTTGTTGCTTTAATACTTGTAAATAAATTGACTTCATATAGTTTTATTTAAATTAACCAATTATTTATAATAATAGACGAAATAAAAACAAAAATGCTACTATTTATCGATTCTACACAAGAATAACCCATTTTAATGTATGTTTAATCTCAATAACTAACAAATATACTGACAGAATAGCAGTCGGTTGATCAAAATATGAACAGTGATTGGTGGATTTAATTTTTTGCAGTGTTCTTACTACCTAGAATGGATATGAAATATATTCGTTCAGTTGAAGGCAATAGCATACTTTTTCGTTTTGTAATCTGTGCGTAGATAAGCTAATATCCATGTGGGTGTAGAAAAAACATTTATAATGTAGGTAAATTATGAGTAGAAATATAAATGAAGTAACAAATATAATTTACAATAACCTGTTACCCAATTGGATTGTATTTTGTAATTCGGAAAATAAAAGAAATAAAATAACAGATTTCAAGACAAATTTAATTTTCCTAGATGTTTGTGCCCAATTTTATTTAATTCGGCTGCAACATTTTCTCAACTTTTTTTAATTTCTGGGTTTATTTTCCCACCGTGAAGCAAATTTTGCGGTTCTAAGAGTTTATCATCCACTCGTTTTGGTTTTTAGTAGTTCTTGGTGCGCAAGATATTTTTTATTTTTAATGTATGCAGGTATGTTTTGGTGTTGAATTGAAAATTGAGCGTTTGTATGGTTATGTTTTCAAATTTGTTCTTCTAATACTTCAAAATTAGTTCAAATGAATCTTAAATGCGATATTGTCAAGTGTTCTCCTGTCATTTTCAAGGGACTCCGTTAAAATAAATAATTTTTAACCGACCTTCAAAATTTGTATATAGAATGTTTGGTTAAAAAAATTAACGGGTTGCTAAAAGTTAAATTTTTAAAAGCTTCTTAATTTTAACGGATGTTTCACAGAATAGATCATAAAGCACTATTGCCTTTCATCATAACTGAATCGTGCTATCAAGTGAAGCCAAAAAAATTCTCATAATTTTTCATATTTTAAAAGTTATGTACTACAATACAAATATTTAAGTCCGGCCCAGAACATTTCCTTACTGCTCTCACCGCGATTTTCGGTTTTGGTAAATTTCGCTCAATGGCAAATAATTTCTATCTTACCCCTTCCTTTTCTAACCTCTTTGTATTTGACAAGTACATGGGACATTAGGTATATTATATAATTCGCATTCTCAATCCGCATCTGCTTATTATGTACCTAAAATATTAAATTTTCCAAAGTATTTAATAAAATTAACATACAAAATAAATTTGGCGTACATTTTTTGTTAGTATCCGGTTAAAGCGCGGCCCCAAACAACATCCGGTGACATAGTTAAAAGCAGTTGGCATTCGTATCACGCGCTACATTCACTTATTTAGTTCAGTTTGGGTTTAACTACCCCCGAAATCAACAATCTCTGGTGTTTGTAGCGACACCCCATCGGAGTTTCTGAATATAACTTTGGTGCTGAGTCAGCAATTTATGTAGATCGAGAGGAAGGCTTTGGCGACTTTGAGAAATTTGTTAACTTGATTGTTCTAAAACATAGTAATTTAATATAATGTGGTATTTTAACATGCTACTTAACTTTCAATATATCATTTTACAAATAAATGTTACTTTGAATCCATATCTATTACGAATTTTAATCAATTGACTGTATTTTCAATACAAACGAATATATTTCTTTTTAGTTGGATCTGGTCATCAACATCATTATCATCTCTATACTTCGTTCTTTTCTGCGTCATTTTAATTTCGAAGGCTATCGAACACCGAATGTAATATTTTTTCAAATCTCTATTTTATACTTAGACTTCATATCTGTCTTAACGTGTGAAACAATTTTTTTCCAATTTTTGAGTTGTTATATGTGGAGCCAAGAAAAGTTTCAGATCACGAACAGCTCTATAGTCTGGGAGCAGGGCTCGTGAGTCGTCAAAACTTTTATAGGGGCATTATTTATGTTTCTTCTGGTAAAAAATTAAAAATATGAAAACTGGATCAAAACAACGAAAATTTTCTACAATTCTTTTAATTCACTTATTAACTGATAAAGGTAAATGTTATAAACATTAAACTGAAAAATGCAGACGTCACAAAAAGTATCGCAAGTGGTGGGTGGTTTCTATTCGCAAAAGGTTGGAAAGAAATGAAATTTGGTGAGATGGTAGACCCTGTTACTGCACCTAAGTTTGCGACCTCGGGGTGTTGCCGCTCGAGGGGTGGAGGGATGAAAACTCTGCGTCGTGACACTTTTCGTGAAATAGCGCCGTTGTGGTGTGTTATCGAAAAAAAGGTTTAAATGAAATATGTACAGGACAAAATCGTGCATAATATTTTGATTTTCACATTTTTTTTGTCTGCGGCCAATAGTTTCCGATCTACGACGCACCAAAGTAGGGGGTTGATTTGCAATGTTCAACAAAATGAGAATTTCAGCGCGGATTAAGACGAAGATCGCTATGAAACAATTATGTAATACTTTTTTTTTCTAAAAGAGTAATGATTTCTAAGTCTGCAGATGCCTGATTTGATACATTTGAACGTATATAATAAATAATATGATGTTTTGAAGCGCGCCCGTACATATTCCGATATAAACATTTTTTAATTATTAGTATCTAAGGTCAATATTTCCTTATTATTGTTGACCTAGGCGCCAATTTATTCTTTTTATGCATACATGATACAAGAAAGTATCATTTTCAACTCATTTCCACACCACCCTTGAGGTAGAGTTGATCGCCGCGTTTTTTTTAACTTGGTATCCACAAGATGCCTAATCCACAGTCGATATTTGGGTTTATTGGTCAAACTCGGCGTTGTATGTTTGGTCTTCATCGTCCTGTAGATCGTGAACGTTTTCGGCATCTTCTGCATTGTCATCGTCTAAAGCAATCTGGTCCGGAATGTTTTCGCAGGACATCCCAATACAGTGTAAACACAGAATCAAACATTTCAATCCTATTTTACGGTAGCCACAAGCAGATCCACAACCTTTCTTGCATCTGCACGAGATGCTCTTGGGTAAAACATCTGGAGCTGGTTCCTTTGCCATCCGTACTGCGTCCAGTCCTGTGGTTGTTCTTTGCCATTCATGATCTTCTGGAGGTTTCTGAACTCCCCGATAGCTCTGTACTTGACAATAAGTACGCAATGAATGATGATGGCACGCATCTGATGTTGGTGGAAGCGCCACTAAATTGAATGAATTTTTTGAGACAGCCTGACAAAGTTCGTATAACGCAGAGAGTCCAACTTGCGATGTTCCCTTCCTGCACCATACTGCCTCAACATAAACAGTTCCCCAGCGGCAACGACTTCGGTTAATTCGGCATTGGGGTCGTCAAATACCTAAATCACGTCTGTTAATATTGGATTTTTTCCAAAGTTTTGAGGAATCGAATTTTGCCTCGATTAAACAATGCCGATTTAGTGTCACATCCACTGAAGGCATGTAGAAATAACATGCTCTTCACTACAGCATCGCTATGTTGTAAATTTTGAGGCGAATAGAACACATCCTTCTTTTTCCCTCTACCCGGCTTGCGCAAATAAAGATTCAGGATCTCTCTGGCTGTAGCAATCAACAACACAAGCAAATCTACATCTTCTCCAATAACAAATACGGAGGAAAAAGAGGGAGCAAGTTCGATGGCAGTCTGCACAATTAATAAATCCGCGTCTTCGATCGCCTGCTTAATATTGTAATTATGTGCTTCCAACTTTGTTTGCAGAAAAGCGATGAGGCGCATTTTGTTGAAGCTGATCGATAAAAATTGTTCTTGCGATACAGTTGGAATCATGAATTCATCGAAGAGTATATCAGTACTGCAGTGCTGCTTCGAGCGGCAGTTTCTTTCAACATGTATCTGCCTCTTTTAGCCGTTACATATTGAAAAAATTGCAAATTTTATTTATAATGTACTATTTAACACGGAAAAGAATTAATATATTACATACTCGTAATTAATATTAAAAACACGTAAATAATAATAAATAATAAGTTGAGGCCGAACAAGGGGCACGTATGCTATATATCACAAACAGGATATTCATGACAACTAATGCACAAAAATAATAAATTTGGCGCCTAGGTCAACAATAATAAGGAAATATTGACTGTAGATTCTGATAATTACAAAATCTTTATATCAGAGTATGTAGGAGCGCGCTTCAAAAGAAAAAAAAAATTACATAATTATTTCATAGCGGTCTTCGTCTTAATCCGCGCTGAAATTCTCATTTTGTTGAACATTGCAAATCAACCCCCTACTTTAAAGCGTCGTAGAGCGGGAACTATTGGTCGCAGACAAAAAAATGTAGAAGTCAAAATTGTGCACGATTTTGTCCTGTACATATTTCATTTGAACCTTTTTTCTATAGCACTTACCCCAACGGCGCTATTTTCCGAAAAGCGTCGAGACGCAGAGTTATCATCCCTATACCCCTCGAGTGGCAACCCCCCGAAGTCGCAAACTTAGGTGTAGTATCAGCGGACCCATATGTCTACCATCCCACCAAATTTCATTTCTTTCCACCTTTTGCGAATAGACCCCTTATTCTTTACCCACCGCTTGGACTAATAAGTAGATAATGACTAAAAGTTTTTATTTCTATCTCCTAAAACTTTAATAAATGGCAGGTAATGAAACTTAGAAATGTTTAACATTGGTTTATTTGATTAAAATTAAAAGTCATAAATAACTGGCAAAAATAATAAAACTAAAAATTTATTCTATAAAAATTAAAAAATTCAAAGTAACAAAATAAAAAATTCCAGGGCTCTTGTTGGTATGGTTTTTATGACTTACTATGTTAAGAATAGTTGTGAAATTGTTGCGTTTTCGATTCCCAGACAATTGAAACGTATGACGACTCTGGGAAAGGCACTTGTTCTATCATTAAAAACATTGTACTGTTCTGTTTTTTTAACTTTTATTTTTTTGTTACAGGTATGGTCAACAAGATTACTCTTCTTCATTGCGTCTTAAATAAAATACGCAAGTATAAAATATATTTATTATCATTTTAAGTTTATATAAATAGATTTAATGATATTTTCTTTGGGAAATACCAAATTTTTTTTTGAAGCATTTACATTGACACTGGTTTTAGAAGAAATTTAATCATTCTTAACTTCTTGAACTGTGAATATATACTGTATGTCTTGACATAACAAAACATCAGCTAATTTTCTACGCAAGTACTATTATAACTATAGATGAAAAATAAACTTAAGGAAATATTTAATAAAGATGAGACAATTTTTAATAAAATAGAAGATGTATGGATCTCCAGACAAATTAGGTTACGTCTGACAGTGAACAACTTTATAGGGGGAAATGTATGTACTAAATTCGAGAGAGACGATAAATATAACTTTGGCTTTGTGAATTAATGCCTAGGATTGATTAACAGTGACAATAAATCATTTTATTAATATATGGCAATAGAAAAATGTATTCCAAGCAAGGATCAAGGAAATTTAACGTATTTAAGATAGAAACTGTGTAAAATAGTAATTTACCCACTTTATATTATTAAAATATACACAAACCCAACAAACAATAAATAATGTATACATTTAATGGTTTTACCATAGTTCAACTTTCTCGTAACGAGTTTTACACATTTTTTTACTTTATTATCCACAAAAATCTTTTCAACATTATTTTGGCAATCTGTTTGCCGTGAAGTAGATTAGATTAGGAGTTGGACGTTATTTGTCCTTGTCCAACGCGACCTTTTCAGATCTATTGTGGGACTCCGTTTGTTTTAGAGTATGTCGTCTAGCCTGGTCTTTTTTATTAGACTTAGTAGCTTTGATAGTGGCTCTCTCATGTAGTTGCATGCATTTGACACAGAACCTGCACAACGTTGCTTCTTCTGTTGGATTTATTACACTCATGTGCCTTTTGAGGCGACAGTGTCCAGTAAGAAGGCCTACTGTTATCCTAACGATTTGACGCTTTTGATCCAGTAGGTCTTTCGTGAACTTGGCCGATGGTTCCTTGATGAACTGTTTGGCCTATCTCAGTCTTGTATAGTTGTTCCACCATTCCTGAGACTCTTTATGCATCCATTATTTAATGGATGCCTTGCACAATGCCTAAGCAACTCCACAGAAGGGTTCGGGGCCTGTTATGCCGTGAAGTAAGGCTGGATTTTGATATTCAACAATTCAGATAAAATGAGGTCATGTGGTAGATATCTGTTTCAGGGTAGCAGAACTTATTTATTTTTTGTCATAGGTACACTGCCCATGCTTAGGTGCCATTCTATTTGTCGTATAATTTATTTTTATTGATTTTCAAATTACAAAGTTTTTTGATAGGTCGTCTCATAGACCTCACGGTACAGGAACGCTATATCTGGTGATTATTAAAATATTATTATCCATATCATTAGCTTAAGTCATAAATATACTTAAGAGCAAATATTTAAATTGTCTTTTATTTATAAATCCTTTTTTTATTAATTATTATTTGGCAATATTTCTTATGCATAAATATAGGTAATTAATAGTAGAGGAGACCGTGGGATATCGACCTTCACTTATTAACACGCCCATGGAAACTTGCCATTCGAAAAGTGTTCATGGCTATTTTTAATTAAATAAATTTTAATAAATTTTTTTTATAACCTTCACTTTTCTGATAACCGAACTAAGTTACACAATTACTGAAAATATCGTTCCATCCATACAATTTGTATAAATGGAACGATATTTTCATAAGTGGCGTAGCTCAGTGCATACACTTTCGATGCAAAGGAAAAGATCTTATTTGTTGAATATTATTTTGTAACAACACGTGCTAAGTATTATTTGAGACCACTAGTACTAAACAACATAGTTATCCCATTCGTCACAGAAGCCAAATACCTCGGAGTCATATTTGACCGAAGGCTGACGTGGAATCAACATCTCAAAAAACTCACATACAAAGCTAAAATAGCTCTCGTAAGCTGTAGAAGAATATGTGGGAAAAACTGGGGTCTAAACCCCAAAATGACCATATGATTATACACAAGGGTAATAAGACCCATGATAACCTAAGGTGCAGTGGCGTGGGTAACCAAAACTGCGCAGGCAAGTGCAATAGGCCAACTCACTGGCATTCAGCGGCTTGCTTGTCTAGGTGCTACTACGCCGTCTGCAGCAATGGAGGTATTATTAAATCTCACGCCACTGCACATCTTCATACAAGGAGAAACCAAGTCAGCTATTCACAGGCTAACCCAATAAGCCAACTACATAGCGCCGACCACACAAGGCTATATCAGCAAGTAAAAAGGGATTATATTCTAGCTATGCCTACTGATAGAGCCATAACCACATACAAATTTGAAAGAAATTTTCAAATTTAAATACCAGCACGAGAATCCTGGAAACAGGGACCTCCCTTACAGGCTGAACTCGTCTGGTACACAGACGGTTCAAAACCAAGGAAGGAGCCGATGCTGGAATCTATGGACCCAAGTCGAAAACAACGATTTCACTGAGTTTAGGAATATATGCAACAGTGTTCCAGGCAAAACTAATAGCCATACAACACTGTGCAAGAAATATTAAATCGGCGCAAGTATCAGGCAAAACTATTGCCATATACTCTGAAGGCTCTAAAGACAATTCTCTCACCAGAAATCAAATCACGACTGGTGAAAGACTGTCTAGACCTGGCAGAGCTAAGTAGTCAAAACAAGGTGACCCTAGCCTGGGTGCCAGCCCATGAGGGATATCAGGGCAACGAAAAGGCCGACGAATTAGCCCGAGAAGGCTCAGGTAAGGCCATGACAGGCCCCAAACCCTTCTGTGGAGTTGCTAAGGCATTGTGCAAGGCATCCATTAAAAAATGGATGCAAAAAGAGTCTCAGGAATGATGGAACAACTATCCAAGACTGAGACAGGCTAAACAGTTTATCAAGGAACCATCGGCCAAGTTCACGAAATACTGGATCAAAAGCGTCAAATCGTTAGGATAACAGTAGGCCTTCTTGCTGGACACTGTTGCCTTAAAAGGTACATGAGTGTCATCAATCCAGCAGAAGAAGCAACTCTGTGCAGGTTCTGTGAAGATGAAAAGGAAACATCATTCCACGTCCTGTGCCAATGTGAAGGTCTGGCTGGAATGAGGTTTCTAACATTGCGCGAAGAAAAGCCAAACACATGCAACTACATGCGGGAGCCACTGTTAAAGCTACTAAGTCTAATAAAAAATACTAAGCTAGACGACACTCTAAAACAAACGGAGTCTCACAATAGATCTGAAAAAGTCGCGGTGAATAACGTCTAACTCCCAATCTAATCTAATCTAATCTAAGTATTATTTGTAATTGGGAATTCAAAATATAGTAAAACATGAATAAAAAGTTTTTATGCGGTTCAAAAAAATCTCTTCTTGATTTTAATGATAATTCATTTTGAATTATGTTCTTTAAAATTGACTTTCCGTAAAAAGCAAAACTTCAAATATGGAAGTATCCAGCTAACCACAGAATCACTAGATTTTGTTGGTTATCACTTCAAGTGTTATAATAAAGTTACAATTTTAAGTAATAATATAAAATAATTATTTAAAACAATTGGATTTGTTGGGGACCAAAACACCTTTGAAGATAAATTACATCGTGCAAATGACAGAAAATATAAATGAAGGAGAATTATCAGAGTCAAATATGTATTTTTTTTATTAATTTATTTAATTATTTATTTTTTATGAATATTGTATACCTATAAGTATAGGAATTTTATAGTAATATAATAATTATAATCCAAATAAAGTTTATTGTCAGCCGCTCCAAA